ATAAGGGTAGTTCAATACGTAGTAATGTAAGACAATAGTCGTGCTAACAAGCAGATCAAGTGCTTCATTATTTTAACTATATTTTAATGTTCTTCTTCACTGTACAACATGGAGAATCCTGTGAATATATATATGGAGTCACAGCTGCTGTAACACCTGATGTCACCCACCCGGATTTGTGACGTAGATCGACCTGCTGCTTACAAGTTTAAGTTACCTTTCATAACCCTTTTGTGCTGTATTTTGTACGTGTATGCAAACAATTCAACGGAACGAGACCTCTATCTTTGTCTTACTGCCTCTATAGAATCATTAATGTTAAGATTTATTATTTTATACCCTCTTCACTTACTTTTTTTACACCAAAAAATAAGTGATTAAATCATAAATAACAAATAAATAAAATATAGCAAAAAATATATCAAATTCCTAACAGATGGCAGCACGTGCAAGATGAAACTTCCGCATTTTTTTTGTTTACAATTCGCCGTGAAAAAAATCGTTGATTTTTACCAAAAACTTAGTTAAATAATGCAAAATAACTAGAACGTCACATTCTCACTTAGAATGAAAAGCAGTTGTTTAAACAGCTAAATATAAAACTAATAGAAGTGTTTGAGTCATTGTGTTGACGTGACATACTTTTTTATCCTAACCCTTATTTATTTACGTATATAATTATATCACAAAGATATGTGAATTCTAAGGAAGAGCTAAAATAACTATAAGTTAATAATAATTATGTGGTCAACATTTATGTCATATGACCTGCATGAAGGTAGTTTGGGCGAAACGTCAGCCATACAGGTAATTTTCCCCGACAGAAACTTTTTACCGTTTCGCAGTTCATAATTTATTCCACTGTGGGTACATTTTTTTCTTGTTATATAACCTATATCAAGACTCAAGTAAAAGGTATTAAGGATCTTGTTAGCTCAGTTGTTTTAAGTAAAACAAATTTCATTAAGTAAAATTATGATAAAGTCATTTTTTCTTCCTTCAGACGTAAGTTTTTATCTCTTCCATTATACTGTTAAATAATTTTAATTAAGTAGATCTGTTGCCGTGGTAGAAACAGATCGTCACGTTCTGCCATCTAGTAGTGAAATGTATAACTAAATTTGAATTATTTTTGTAAGTTTCACGAAGCTGGTTTAGGTTTCTTGAAATGTTAAAAGTCTCCTAGTTGGTTATGATAAATAAGTTAATGATACGTTTGTTTAACTAGTAGAGACGTTGTTTTAAAACTTGATATTACAGCGTAAGTTATATAAACCTGATATTAGGGTATGAAATATAAGAAAATAATATTATGGTGTAAAAATGCAAAAATAGCATTATGGTGTTAAATATAAGCAAAAGGTCATGATGTTTAAAATATAAGCACAAATGTCATGGTGTAAAAACACGTAAAAATATAAGCACAAATGTCATGGTGTAAAAACACGTAAAAATATAAGCACAAATGTCATGGTGTAAAAACACGTAAAAATATAACCATAAAGTCATGGTGTAAAATAACATAAAAACATTATGGTGTAAAATATAAGTTCAAGATTAGAGTTTCTAATTTCGTTTCGGTTCAGTTTCGGACAGTTAAATGATACACTGAACAAAGCGAAAGTTCCTACGTTTCTTCGACTTCACATTAATGTAACTGACATTTCTGTTGTCACAACATGATGTTATATACACCAGTTAATTCCTTGTTGTAAACCGTTAAGACTAACTCGTTTATATAATTCAACAGTTTAAAGTTGATCAACATCAAAGATGTGCCCAGATGTAAATTTCTTGAAACTCACACTTAAGTCCTAGACCACGGATTTTTTTTTCTTTTTTAAAAAGTGAATAAATCCAGTGACATGTTTCTCAGAATCTATATATAACCTAACTCGAAAATCCAGTCGTTTGATCAATGCTTTATTTACGTTTGAATTTGAATTTATTGTATCTAAAAATTCGTAAAACTGGAAACGTTAGGTGTCGCTGTGAATTGTAAGTGTATCTCGCCAGAAAAAAAAGAAAAGAAAGGTGTTTGCAGGTTAAAAAACAACAAAATATAATAAGTTTAGATAAATATTTACTTTGCATCCTCGTGTTTGTCTCTGTTATTTTTTTCCCATACATTTTATCTCTTCAAAAGAGTATTCCTCCATTTTGTAAATATTCTTCAAAAAAAAAAAAAAAGAAAGAAAGAAAGGAAGGACTGCGCAGACTCTGTTATTCTTACAGTTCTAATTGGACGGTTTGGTTTTGAATTTCGCGCAAAGCTACACGAGGGCTATATAACGACAGGAGTAATCTGGTTAGTCACAGTCTGATATTTAATTACAGAACAACCAAGTGGAGTTTCAAATAAACTTTATTACATTTACTAAGTTCACGACTTTGTAAAATAGCACAAATCTGTACGAGTAAAAACACTTCGGTAAAGATTACAGCAAACATCAAAAACGTGAACTGAACGAACATCCGAAAATAAGCGGCTTAAAATACACGACTCATATCTCACTCACATAAAAAACTGTGTTTCCTGATAAACATTCATTAAAACAATCAAACGTGGTTAGTTAAATAGAACTATATAATAATAATATCGATTAAAACAATTAATCTGTCATCCAAATTTTACAACAATAGTAGGCATACAATATTATATATAAATATATATATATATCCAATTATTTATTTACACTAGGACTAAAATCACAGGACCAGAATGTGGCGAAAAACCCTCGGCTTAACGTATCAAAATATGATAAGATATAGTAGCATGCAAATAGAAAACTTTTAACATCATTTACACATCACAGCTGTGGAAGAGTATACATACATCTAGAAATTACGTGTCGGAAAACAAAAAGACTGAAACGTGCAGCCGTGAAATAACGTTGTTGGTGTTAAAGCGTAAATATAAGTATGACGTAAGAGATATTGTTGAAACAGAAAAGATGTGGTTAACAACATTTACAACCGATAAAAAAACACTTGACATTTTTTCTCCTGTTGATTAAACTTTCTGCTTTTATTTGCAGTATCTTTAATGAATGATCTATAAAGGGTTAATTTATTTATTTTTCACCTGTACATAAGTAATTTGGAACATGCGCAGTAGTACTCTCTCTCTCTTAACGAATAAAGTAGTGACGTGTCGCCGTCTTTTCGCGCCAAAGTGGAAATATTATTGAATTAACATATTCGGATAAGTTTGAAACATGCGCAGTAATGTTGGCACCAGGCGGATATATATATATATATATTATTACTGTGCTCTCTTTTTCGCGCCAAAGCCACGAATTACCATGACTACTGACGTGATATGAATTAAAACAGGGAAAGGGGGGGGGGACAAAAACTTTCAAATATTTGATTAAATAAAAGTTGTAATGGAGTAGGCTTAGGTTGGTAAGCGCAAAACTACACAATGGGCTACCTATGCTTTCTTTGCTCACCACGGATATCAAAACCCAATATTTAGCGTTGTAAGCCTTCAGCCTAACCCCTGAACCACTGGGGGGGGGGGGGCAATAGAGTAGGGCCTATTAATAAATAAAAAATATGGCCACACGATTACACGTTTTTTTTACAGTTTTGTTGAGTTTACTTTTGACAAGAAATATTATTATTTATATATTTATTAACTATACTAATTAACCTTCAGTATTAAATAATGTGTATGGTATATGTGTATATGTGTACTATCATGACTCAGAAATGAGCAGAAACGACCGTTATTACATTTAGTCATATCATCTTTTTATAATTTTCATAAAAATCATTCGTTTGTTAGTGGTGAAGATGGATTATTACAGCCAATCATAGTTCGGTTGGATTATTATAGCCAATCATAGTTCGGTTGGATTATTACAGCCAATCATAGTTCGTAGGATTATTATAGCCAATCATAGTTCAGTTGGATTATTATAGCCAATCATAGTTCGGTTGGATTATTATAGCCAATCATAGTTCGGTTGGATTATTATAGCCAATCATAGTTCAGTTG